AACATCAAATTAACCATGGATTTAAGCCTAAGAACTCCAAAAACTTCTGAATTCTGCTTTTGATGAAAAAGTCTATCAAACCTCGTCCGAATGACCTGAAATTTTGCACACACGTCAAAAATGACACCACGGACCTACTCCAACTTCCAGAATTCCATTCCGACCCCTTTATCAAAATCTCCCTTATCAACCGGAAAATGCCAAAATTCAAATTTCGCCAATTCAAGCCTAAATCTACTCTGGACCTCCAAAACTCGTTCCGATCACGCTCCTAAGTCTCAAATCATCTCCCGACTATCCGAATCATCAAAACCAAATTCCAAGATCGTTTTCTCACAAGTCAACTTCCAGTTGACTTTTCCAACTAAAAGACCAACTTACGAGACTAAGTTTCTCATTCCTCTATAAAAACCACTCCGAACCCAAACTAACCCACACAATGCGATGAAATACAGTTGAACAACATGCAAAGAAGCAGAAATGGGGGAAACGGAGCGGTAACTCATGAAACGACCGGTCGGGTCGTTACAAAGGTCAACCGGACGTGATTTGATAAGTTCCGGCATCGAGTGAAGAAGTTTGAAGGTCTAAAGTTCATAAAGCTCGAATTGGGGTGTGATTCATGATTTTGACATTGTTTGATGTGATCTGAGACCTCGATCAGGTCCGCGTTATGTGTTGGAATAGGTTGATGTGGATGAGGTCTCGAGGGCCTCGGATGGATTCCGGGTGGTTAATGGATCGAATTTAGAATTTGAGGAAGGGTTGAGGAAGCTGACATCCGGTGTAACCGCACCTGTGAGGTTTTGGCCGCAGGTGTGGAGCCGCAAAAGTGGCCTAGGAGTCGCAGAAGCGGGCAAGAGCGCAGGTGCGAGGGAAGATACGCACCTGCGAAGGTGCAGATGCGGAAGGGAGATTGCAGAAGCGGAAGCTGCTGGGTTGAGTTAGAGCCGCACCTGCGATGGATTTCCGCAGGTGCAGAGCCGCAGAAGTGGCTACTAGACCGCAGGTGCGAAGGTCGGGGATGGGCAGTGTCTTCTTTAAAACGAAGGGTTTGGCTCAATTTCATTTTACTTCGTCCATGGGAGCCGATTTTGGAGAAATGTGGAGTGCCATATTCCTCAACTAGTAAGGGGTAAGTGCTTCCTTCCCAATTTTTAGTTAAATACATGATATGGATTTAATTATGGACAATTAGTGGGAATCTGGGGTTTTGGTAGAAAAACCTAGAATTTGTATTTTTTGGATTTTGACCACGTTTTTGGACATGGAACTTGGAATAAGTTATATATTTGAGTTCGTGGCATTATGGGTAAAGTTTATATTCAAAAAATTTCGGAATCCGGGCACATGGGCCCGAGGATAATTTTTATCGACTTTTCGATCGGGGTTAGGAATTGTTATAAATTGGATTATAATGAGTATTTGAGTATCTATTAATGGGTTTGCATAATTTTTGGTTATGGAGCGTTGAGCATCGATTCAAGTTGTTTGAAGGGCTCAGAAGCCGGTTACGGAACTTCGGAGCGAGGTAAGTCTCCTTTCTAACCTTGAAAAAGGGATTTACCCCATAGGTGAAATAAATCAATGTGTGCTCCTATTTGTGGGGGCTACGTACGCACGAGGTGACGAGAGTCCGTGCGTAGCTACTATTATGCTTAAGTCCGGGTAGTCTAGGACCCAAAAGCATGCTCTACTTGTAATATTTGCAACCTTGTTGTCAATTTAAAATTCTTAAATCATATTGAACTTGGTAAATAAATTTTCTAAAAGGCTAAACATCATTTCTTGACTGTTAAAAGAGAAATTGCCATTTCCTTGGATAATTCCCCCTTGATGAATTCTCGATTGACTGTTTGAATGTGTTTATCTTTGTGTAACGGGCCGAACACCTCGGTAGATTAAATAGATGCATCTATGGTTTGCGCAATTCGATCCTATGGCAGTGCACAGTTTATATATTTGTTGGATCGGGCCATGCGACCTCGGCATGATTTGCGCATACTTGTATCGCTTGCCTTGAAATTTATAAATAATAATATTGCCTCCCTGGTCTGAGATAAATTGATAAATGATGAAATATGAATTTGGAAATCTCTTATTATCAAAAGGATTGTTTACTTGCTTCATGATTTATTTGAGTTTACTGTCGTTTTTAAAAAATCCACGACTAATTATATTAGTGGTGGCCATAGTAAGTGTCGGAGTCGACCTCTCGTCACTACTTCTTCGAGATTAGACTGGATACTTACTGGGTATGCATTATTTTCGTACTCATACTATACTTGTTGTACATTTTGTTGTACAGGCACATCGGTGTTCAGTGGCCTTGTGGGCGCAGCAGCGCGATTGATACGGGAACTTAGGTGGGTTGCATCTTATGAGACGATCCGCAGCCAGTAGAGTCTCCTTCAGAGTACTTGTGTTTTCTTTTCTGTCCAATTTTTATTTCTGACAGTCATTGTATTTTATTTTTACTTCCTAGCAAATGCTCACGCGCTTGTGACACCAGGTTCTGGGATGATTATGGGATTATTCAGTATTTGGAAACATTATTATTTAATGTTTGGAGTTCACCATTTATTATTTAACTTAAGGATATTAAGATTTCAAAAATCCTAAAATGAGAACCAAATTAATTATTTATTGATGGCTTGCCTGACAGCGGTGTCCGGCGCCATCACGACCTTTAATGGTTTTTGGGTCGTGACAGTCCCGGGGCCTCGGGTGAGTTTCGGATGCTTAACGGGTCATTTTTGGACCTTGGGAGTTGGCAGATTTTTCTGGTGTTTTGTTGCAGACAATTCCTTCGTCGCGTTCGCGAGAGGAGACTCACATTCGCGAAGAGGAATTTGTGGTAGGTGAGATTTTGTGCTTCGCATTCGCGAAGGAGGTCTCGCGTTCTCGAAGCACTGGGGAAGTTGGCCTACGCGTTCGCGATGTAGGTCCCGCGTTCGCGTAGAAGGAATGGCCAGCTGGGTCCCCAGGCCCTTATGCCTACGCGTTCACGATGTTGGTCCGCGTTCGCGTAGGGTTGAGTTGATAGGCCTTCGCGTTCGCGACAAGGGTATCGCGTTCGCGATGAAGAAATTCCGAGCAAGAGTAAATTGCTCTTCGTGAACGCGAGGGGTGCTCCTTGTTCGCGAAGAAGGGAACATCTGGGCAGAATTTAAAGTTCAAAAATGAGGGTTTTGAGTTCATATCACAAAATTGAATTGGGAGCTCGGTAGAAGGCAAAATTTCGAGGGATTTTCAGAGGAAGTTATTAGGTAATGATTCATAACTCCCTTATGGTTATATCCTACTAATCTATGCTTGATTTCACCATTTTATTTCGGATTTGGGGTGAAAATTCGGAAAAACTGAGAAAAGTTCTTAGGCCGAATTTTGGGATTTTTTTTATCGAGATTTTAGTATTGGATTTGAGAAATTTTGGTACGAGTGAACTCGTGAGTGAATGGTTGTTCATAGTTGGTGACTTTTACCCAATTCTGAGACCTGGGCCCGGGAAGGCATTTTGAGCGATTTTCCAATTTCTTGCTTTAGCTTTGATTCCATTAGCTAGATTAGTTCCTTTTAGTTATATTTATGTTATGTAATTGCTTTTGGCTAGATTTGGGGCATTCGGAGTCGGATATTCGTGGAAAGAGCATTGTTACAGATTGATTTGAGCTTGGTTCGAGGTAAGTAGCTTGCCTAACCTTGTGTGGGGGAACTCCCCTTAGGATTTGTACCGTTTGATATATGAGCGTCGTGTGCGTGAGGTGACGAGTGCATACACAGGCTATTTGTTGCGAAAACTCCATTTTCATTAAGTAAAATATCTGTTTTTCCTTTAACTGAGCTACACTAGCATATGTAATTATCTTGTTTAGTTTAGAACAGCATGTCTATGTGTCTTAATTGCTTATCTGAACTTTGTGCAGTATGCTTAGTAATTTGCTGCTTCTTCATTGACGTGTACTTAGTCTATATTGTAGGATTTCTTGTTGTAGTTGTAATTCTATTGTTTGAGCTGCATATTTACTTTGGACTACGGAACGGTATACCGGGAAATCCCCCTGTATTGCATATTTACTTTGGGACTACGGAACGGTATTCCAGGAGATCTCCCAGCACTGCATATTTACTTTTGCACTACGGAACGGTATTCCGGGAGATCCCCCTGCACATTTGCGTTTGGGACTACGGAATGGTATACTGGGAGATCCCCTGTTGTTATCTCTGTATTCTGAGCTATTGGCTTTCTATGATTACATTCTTGTTAAATTACAGTAATTATTTTACTGCGATATTTTATTCTGTCTTATTTTATTATATATGCACCAGTAGGGCCCTGACCTGGCCTCGTCATTACTCGACCGAGGTTAGGCTTGGCACTTACTGGGTACTATTGTGGTGTACTCATGACCTTCCCTGCACATGTTTTTGTGTGTAGATCCAGGTACCGCTTATCAGCCGCATTATCAGTAAGGCGAGCCAGCCGTAGAGACTTCAAGGTATATCTGCCGCGTCCGCAGACCTCGGAGTCCCTATCTACTCTTCCCCATGTCAAGCACTTCTTATATTTGCTTTTGTTAGACTCTGGAGTATAGAAATACTGTATTTTTTTTTCTTTCTGTAGTTTGTGACTTACGATATTCTGAATTTTGGGAGAGTTTATGTACATTTCGAGAGTGATTATTGTATATGCCGAGCGGCATCTTAATTTCTTATTAAAATTTACCTGTTAGTTGTTAGCTTTCATGTTTTCGTTTCATTTTCTGTAAATATTAGGCTAACCTAGTCGTAGAGACTAGATGCCGTCACGACGGTTCACTGAGGGAGAACTTGGGTTGTGACAAAACTGTTTCTGATTGACCCGGCAATTAATTGCAAAAGCAAAAAAAAAAAAAAAAAAAAAAAAAAAAAAAAAAAACGAAGCACATGGACCAACTTAGAAAATAGTAGATTCCACGACTCCCCCACTAGCCACTATCACCACACCCTCCTCTCTCACTTCATTTACATGTAACAATACACAATATGTCATACACTTAATACAGTTGTTGTTTCTTGAACTTGTACTTCTTATTTGTCAATTGTTGCTGACAAAAACAAGAACAAGGGCCAATAAAGCAGCATCTTCCCTCATACTCTGTAACTCTCTCTTCTTTCTTCTTCCCTTCAATTTAATCCCTCCGTTTCATTTTTCTTACATCTCACATTCACAATTCATAACTTTTTAGTTTTTACACACACGAATATAATCCAAATTTGTTCAATCTGTTAATACATACTAATAAAACCCAGCTCGTAAGTTAAGATCTGAATTCAATTCATCTGACGGGTCACTTGGTGGGTTAATCAATCACTAGTTATTTATTTGGGGATGGGGGTTAGTGATATTAATGGGTTGATTCTTGTAGATCTATTGAATGATTTTGTGAGAATTTTATTAATTGAATGCAATTTGAGTGTTTTTTATTTAGATCTGAGAATGGAGTAGTGCAGGTCTCCTTTTATTTGAAGTCAAGTTCATGTTTTTTTCATATAAAAGTGTGTGGATCTGCATTTGTGATTGATGCAAATGTTGCCATTCTAGTTATCCTGTGATTTTTATCTGATTTTTTACTGTGGCGTTGGATTTATACGGTCGAAATGGAGTGGGATGGATCATGAGGATTCATATAGAGTTAATAATTTAAGTTATATACGTTTTCAGGGTAAACATTATCAGTAAATTTTAACCTGTGATAGTAGGTTAGTTACTATTTTTACTAGATTACTAATTAATGCTTATCAAGAGATTTACTTGTAATTCCCTAATAAACGACCTGATTGTGTATATATTTGCTGTACTGTCAATTTATAGAACTTAAAACTCTTTAGTTGATTCCAACTAGTTTGGGATTGAGACGTAGTTGTAATTATAGAGAGATTGAGTTAATTTAGGTCATTTGGGTTTTATCCTTGAGAATTCATTGATCTTTTCTGCGAACTGTGATTTTTACTAGCTGACGCTGCTTTTCGACTAGAAAAAGAGATGTTTTAAGGAAAAGGGATAAAAAGAAAGTATTTTGATTAATGAAGGTTACTGCTGCTGAAGTTTCACTAAAAGCTTATTTCGGTACTTGATCATATGAGGAATTGTTTCTTTCTTTGGTTGTTGTATTTCTTTTACCCTAATTTTGCTTTTAGAGCTTATTAGACCATTTCAATTATGGAAATGGTATTATTAACTCCACTTTCTTATTTATGTCTTTGGGTTATGGAAGGGAAATGTTCTGTTTGCCTGATATATTATGGATCATAATGTTTTCTTCTACGTATTTTAGGTGGGGAAGAGCAAATAGAAGATTTGGAAATTTTGATGTGGAAGTGTGAATGCTTCTTTTTGCTGCTTGGAGGGTAAAACTTGTTTCTCGCAGCAAAAGATAAAGGCAAATGGCTCCTGCAAGCAAAGCTGATAAGAAGGCTGCAGGTGATGTGGCTGCATGGATGTTCAATGTGGTCACTTCAGTTGGAATCATTATTGTCAACAAGGCTTTAATGGCTAACTATGGCTTTTTCTTTGGTAAATTTCTCCGCGATTTTTGTCATTATATCAGAACAGCATTCCTTTTGTGTTAAGATTCAAGCAGCATTGGTTATATCTATTCATTTTAATTTGAAGGATATAATGTCATGGAATGATGGAATATAATATGCATAAACTCTAAGACCTATAGTGTGTTATAGCTAGATGCGTTTGTTTTTAAAAAAAGAAAAGCTATAAAATGACGAGTCTGATGGTACATTTGGCAAGAAGAGAAGTCAGAGGGAAACATATGCTTCTTTGAACTGAAACTCAAAATTTACAAAATATACTTCAGCAGATATACAGTAAGAAGAGACTCTAAGAGAAACTTGAACCTAAAAGGGTTTTGCTGTACGGGCACTTTCCATGTTAAAACTGATACATGTTTCTTTTACTTAGTGGAGAATGAAGATTTAACATTACTATACATTCTTTTCAGTCCTTTTGTGATATGGTTGTTCTAGTTTTTGATTACAACAATCTTTGCAGCAACAACATTAACCGGGATGCATTTTGCCACAACAACCTTGATGACTATTGTTCTTAGATGGCTCGGATACATCCAAACGTCTCATTTACCCCTTCCAGATCTTCTAAAATTTGTACTGTTTGCAAACTTCTCTATTGTTGGGATGAACATCAGTTTAATGTGGAACTCGGTGGGATTCTACCAGGTAATTCTATGCTCAACCTGCTCTTCAGATTCTATTGAGGAAATCAAATACTGATCTCCATTATCACTCGCAGATTGCAAAGTTGAGTATGATCCCTGTGTCCTGCTTACTAGAAGTTGCCTTTGACAAGATCCGTTATTCAAGGGACACAAAGCTGAGTATTGTTGTGGTACTCCTAGGTGTTGCTGTGTGCACAGTTACTGACGTGAGTGTTAATACCAAAGGCTTCATTGCTGCCTTTGTAGCTGTATGGAGCACTGCACTGCAACAGTATGTAAGTTGTCTCGGCAATTAAATATCTTATGTCATCTTGAAAAGCTTGATCGAATCATTTAACCAATACACCAAAACACGAAGGGAATAGATGCACCATCAATAAGGTGTCACTTCATTACCGGACCAGTAATGCAGGTATATTATGGCCCAAGGGTTCGGTTGAGTGTTTGGGGTATAAGAGTAACAACCCGGAGATCCTAGGTACAAATGCAGTTATAAAACTTAGTATGAGCAAAAATATTCTAGTCTTAGCGCACAGGTTTACCCAGAAATATACTTGTGGTCGTACCAGGCAGCTTAGTGGATTAGTCGAGTTGCATGCAAGTTGGGTTTGATACATCTGTCATAAAAATGTTGCTATACATGGATTTTAATCTAAAAGATGCATGCAGTAATAATAATACGTACCAAATTCAAGTTTAGCTTTAACTTGTAAAAATTTTTACTAGTTTAAAAATTATGTAAAAATTCTTACTATAGAATATTATAATTATTTTTGTTTTTTATTGAAAAGATTTATTCTTATTTACGAAAATAAGTCCCCTACATTAAAGGCATTTTTGTGTTTAGGGTGCTCTTATCGATGTATTGTTTCTGCATGTACTTTATCTACATTGTATCCCTATATCTGAGATGTAAAAAAAAGGGGATATAAAACATTAATGAGCTCTGCATAAGATATGCAGGTATTACTTATGATTAGTTTTATATCGGAAACCAAAGGTTGTATCAGCAAGGCATAGTTGTATTCGTGATCTAGAGTTTTATACGGGAAATCACACCCGATACTAGTCAGGCCTTTTTTTCGTTCCTTAGATAAGTAAAATCAGACGTATTATTAATGCAAAGTTTGTCCAGAAATCAAACAAGACCTAAGCCTCTTTTATTATAAGAGAAATGGAAAACTTGTTTCGTGGGTAATTGTATAAAACTCGTCACTTCTGTACTCCACTTAGATTTGAAAATAATATTTTATACGTAATTCTTAGTCTTTCTATTTTCTTGAAGCTCTTCTATTGTTGAATGTAATGGCAGTTGGTTAAAACTGAAATTTGCACTTGGTTTTGTGTTTGCAGTATGTTCATTACCTTCAAAGGAAATACTCCCTTAGTTCTTTCAATCTGCTGGGACATACTGCACCAGTTCAGGCTGGAAGTTTGCTGATATTAGGCCCGTTTGTGGATTATTGGTTGACGAACAAGAGGATTGATCACTTTGCCTTCAACTTTCCATCTCTTGTTAGTACTCTGCTCTCTGTCATGAATTGCTGTTGATTTTGTAAGATGATTCTTATGTTGGTGGGAATGCGCTTTGAAATGCTTCTTACTTATAATCCTTGGATTTCATGCAATTCAAAAGCTTGAGAAGTAAGGTCTATGTTTTTCTTGTCTGATACATCGATCTATATTTTTGTTATTTTCCTTTGGTAAATTAGTCATAAACCTGCAATAATGATGAACTACAACTTCAGGATGTATCTATTTGATGTTAATTGTTGTATGAGCTGGCTTCATTTAAACTCGGTAAAAAAAGTTGTATGAACAGGTTTCAGTATTTGCTAGTGCTAAATAAAGCTGATGTGGAACATAAAGAAAAATGTTCATCTCATGCCTAACTTGCTTTACTCTGTTGACTTCTCTTTTCAAGAGATTAGTATTTTAGTTCTCACCGATGTATGTTTAACACACATTTCATGCGATCAAAGGATTGCAGTTCATTTATGCCATCTCTCTGATGTGAACAATATTCTGTATGCTTGTCGATGCATGCACCTTTTATTCTATCAAACAAAGATGAGAGATTTGTAGCTGTCCCTTACACTTTTCTTTTTCTGCAGGTGTTCATAATTCTTTCATGCACTATAGCTGTGGGCACCAATCTCAGTCAGTTCATATGCATTGGCAGATTTACTGCCGTTTCATTCCAAGTTATCGGCCATATGAAAACGATCCTTGTTTTGATACTGGGATTTTTGTTTTTCGGGAAAGAAGGTCTAAACATACAAGTTGTAGTTGGCATGATTATAGCAGTTTTTGGAATGATCTGGTATGGCAATGCCTCGTCTAAACCTGGTGGCAAAGAGCGTCGTAGCCATTCAGTTAAGCATGGATCAGATTCTTCACAACTTGATGATAAGGTGTAAGATTCTCTAGCATTGGAGCTGAAACAGAAGAAATAGCAAATACCAGATTTTTTTAGCCAGCTGACTCTAGATACACCTCCCGAAATCGATCAAATTAGATTCTTCTTAATGTTATAAATCTTCTTTTTACTACTACTATAATATAACATGAGGCAGAAGGGATTGAGACTTGAGTATGGAGCGTGGTTTCTGTCATTCTTTTGTGTTCCATGATCATAATTTATATGCTGATAAAAAAAAATATTCGCGTGCATTTTTCTCTTCTAAGCAGTCTTGAGTTTACTTATTTGGGATGACTAATATCTGCACTTAGTTCAGTATTTTTGTTGAAGAAATTTTTTATTTATGAATGTTGGTGTGACTTGAGGATAAAGAATTACTAGGTACTACTTGTTTACTGTTTATGTAGAGAGGTAATATGATTTGCATCCTTTTAGAGAAAGGTCCATTGGAGGTCTATATTGAGGGAAGATATGCCAATTCCACTTCCTCTTTTAGATCAATGACTGTCTAGTTCCATTCCTCCTTCCAAAACTGCCACAACTCTCTACGTTGTAATTGTGATTGTCAAATCATACATGGTCACTCAACTTTTTTTTATTTGCACTAAAGTGACTAAACTATGTTTGGTGACTTGTTGTGATTCTTAGGCAAAGTTGAATGATCTTTTTGTTAAAAAAAAATTAGTGACTTCCTATGATACTTGAACAAAGTTGAATGATTTTTATGTTACAAAAAATAGTTTAATATTTTAGTGCAATAAAATAAAAATGTGAATTACCTTCTACAATATCAACCCTACGTGGGGGAGTCTTCCCAGCCTAGCATGCCTGTTTTTAGGTTCGAGATTAGATGTAGGAATTGCTTGACAATATGCCCCAAAGTTATAGCCATGATGTGGAGATCGCAACTATGGGTGTCTAACGGGTGGGCCGGACCGGGTTGGTAGGGAATTTTAGTACCCGTACGGGTTATGGTCCAGGCCGGTTACGGGTTGGGGCTTACCGAGTTTAACGGGTTCGGGTTTATCCGTGTAAAAATTGAACCGTAAGGGTTACGGATTGAACGGGCCGGGCCGGGTTAGTATTTTTTTTTTGTTGTATTTTGTATAACTATTGTAAGTTATATTAATATAAAGTAAAAATATAAAGTATACTATGAAGATGGGAAAAAATTACACTTATAAATTGCAAGTGCTACATTTATTTCAAAATTCAAACTTACAAATTGAAAGGTTTAATTTAACAACAAGTAAATTAACCAAAAAAGAGTAAATTCAAACTTTCAAAGGTTTTGCATTGCCTTAGTAAGTTCGTCATAATCAATATGAACTGAGTGGCCTTCTTCTGGAGTGTTAAATTCGGATGGGTTACCATGTGTTAATATATCTCCAAGTTCCTCGTCTTCTAGGCTATCAACATCTTCACGTCCTTGATTTCTTCGTTCCGATCTAATCCAATCTCTGAAACATACTAAAACTTCCAAAGCATTGCTTCCCAATGAGTGACGGGTGTCTCCAAGTTGTTGTCTTGCTTGGCAAAATGCACTCTCTGATGCAACAGTTGAAATTGGCACATTCAGCACGTCCCGAGCCATAGCGGAAAGAACAGGAAATTGCTTTTGGCTCTTTTTGCTTTTGCAAGTAAAATTGAAGTTCATCAATGTTCTTGCTACTAGTTTGAATGTTAGAAAATGTAGAAAAAATATTATAACTATCAAGGCCTTCTTCATCATCCACAGTAGTAGAAGTGGTACATTGCATAGTGGGATTAACATTGCCTACATTAAGCGCAGCATTATCAATTATATTTGCATAATAAATATATAATTATTGTAAATAATCATTTAGCTTGTTCATAGAAACATATATATATTTGGGGTTTCAGTTGGTCCAATCTCCATATAAGTATATAAAGCATTCATTAATTGGTGACAGTCAGACATCTTAATAGAAGGATTTAATACAGCACCAATTAAGTAAATCGGAGGAATTGGAAAGAAATATTTTTTGAATTTTGCTTGCATTTTTTCAACAACATCCGTATATCTTTCTTTCTTCTTAAATTCAAAGAGTAGAAAAGAAATTTCAGCTATATGTACTAATGCCATAGCAATAGTAGGGTAATATGCTCCAGAAAACTCAACAGTAGCTGTATAAAATTTATGTAAAAATTTAACAACATCATTAATGACCTCCCAAGTAGTAGTTGTTAACATACGGTTTGGATCAGTACAATGCGCATTAGCAACTTCAGTTATTGGGAATCTATATTTGAAGCAACATTTTAAAAATATATATGTATAATTCCATCTAGTAACAATTTCGTCTGGCATGAATCTGGGTTTAAGGTTATACTGGGTACACTTATTCTTAAATTCCTTTATTCTAGATTGTCTATTATTTCCTTGAATAACACCAACTGCTCTTCTAACATGAGTAATCTCAGTTGAAAATAAATCAAGGCCACTTTAACAATTAAATTATAAACATGACATGCACACCTAACATGAAAAATTTCATCAAGTAGTGGTTGCAAATGCAGTTTTAATATTGAAATTGCGGCATTATTGTTAGAAGCATTATCAAAAGACATACACAATACTTTTTGCTTGAGATTATAAAATTCAACAACTTCACAAATAGTAGTACTTATAAACGCAGCAGTATGACTTTGATCTTCATCATATTTAAAAGCGATAATACGTTTTTGCATACAATAATTATCATCAATCCAATGACATGTAATTGTCAAATAATCATTTTCATTAACAGCATGGCCAATATGAGAAGTTAGAGAAACTCTACAAAGAAGGTGGCTAAACAAATAACGTATGTATATTTGATATTGTCCATGAAGTCTAAAGATATCATATCTACAAGTACTTCTAGGGATACCTTTAAATAAAGGATTGTAAATCCTTTGAATATACATAATAAGATATGATGAAGAGGCAAAAGAAAAAGGTAGACAACCCAAAGCAATCATTTTTGCTAACTCTTCACGATCCTTCATTTTATCATATTTTATAACACCTCTAGTAGTAGGGTTTAGAGTTGCTTGATTTCCATCTCCATCAGAGCCCCATTCTATAGGATGCTCAATTCTCATATGTCTGCTAAGTGTCCTAGTCCTCCCTAATTGTCCTCCAGTCTTATGTTTAAAAGTATCATTACAAATTTTGCATTTAACTCTATCAATATTCGGTATGTCTTCAAAAAAATTCCAAACCTTACTTCTTTTTCTACGATTACTAGTCGGGGCCACAGGTGGTCTACTACTAGCATCACGACCACCACCCCTGCTAGCAGCTCCAACACTACTAGGTGTAAGTGGTATCTCATCTTTCATTTCTAATTCATTTTCTTCTGTACCAAAATCTTCCTGGAATTGTTCATAATCTATATTATTATCAGGTAATGTTTCACGAATATTTGGAGAGGTATTTAAATTACTACCAGATGCTGAAGCTGAAGTACTACCTCTTTTTTTATTTCCCCGATTAGTGACCTTGTTACAAACTCTTTTTGCAACATTAAACATATTGTAAAAATTTAACTACTAGTAACAAAAAAATATGCAAATAAAATAGTAAATAAGAGAAAGAGTTGGAGGGAGTGCACCGAATTTAGCAATAAATTGAGCACTTGATGATTTTACAACTCCAAAATTACCACGAAGAAATGTCAATTGATCCAATTTTGAAGTTCAATTGTTCAAACTTCAAATAATAAATACTACGATAAATTAAATTCCAAAAGAAATAGCCAAATAGTTGATTGCACTTTTATAGGTGAAGAATGAAGATTGAAGAATGAGAGAATATGAGAATTGAGATTGAGAATTGAGAGATGAATGAAGAAATGAGGAAGAGGGGGGGGGGGGGGGGGGGTTAATTTTTTTTAAAAAAAACCCAAAATTGGGCTATTTGTGCAATTGAGCCATTGGGCAACGGCCATATTCTCAAATGGACCGGTTAAAAAATGGGCCCAGATTTCTGACCGTTGGCAACGGCCCAGATTTCTGTTCATTGATCGGGTTTGACCGGTTAACCGGCCCAGATTTCTGTTCATTGACCGGGTTTGACCGGTCCGGGTAACCGGTAGTTCGAAGGTAAACGGTGCAAACCGCCCTACACCCTTAACCCAGCCCAACCCAGCCCCCTTCTACCGGTCCGGGCCGGTTCCAATTTTAGCCGGTCTGGGCCGGTCCGGGACCGGACTGACCCGGCCCGTTTAACACCTTAATCGCAACTTTAAGAGCTGTTTGAACATGAGAATTTTTTCAAAACTTTTGTACTTTTTTTCGAAATTAGTGTTTGGCCATAAAATTTCTAATTTTCATTTGAAGAAATTTTGAAATTTTTCGGAAATTTGAAAAATTCCAAAAAGCCGTTTCTCAAACTCACTCAAATCACTCAAAAAACTTCAAAAACAACCCAAAATTATATTCATGTCAAAATACAACTCTAATTCTCAAATATCATTTCAGTTGAAAAATAAATCACATAGTTTTGGAATTTTGCAATTGTTATGTCCAAACGGCCACTAAATGTCAGCTAGAATATTTGGTGTGAGTCCATCCCTTCCAACCATGGCTCGGAAAAAAAAAAAAAAAAAGCTATACTTGTGCGCTGGACAGACGGTGGATTAATCGAGGTATGAATAAAGAGATATTTACATTACTATACATTATTTGAAACTTTATTATCCTCCCTACTCAAGTTTCAATTTAATTACATCATATATACAAATTTATCAATTATATACACTTTAGGAATTAAATAAGTATCATTTATGTTAAGAATCAATTATTTCTCATCCTTATTCTCTCTTCCTCGTGCGCTCTCTCTCTCTCTCTCTCTCTCTCCGTCTCTCTCTCTCTCCCTCTCTCTACTTCTCTCTCTATCTCTCAATCCCTAATTCCAGTAATGTAGAGCAAAGGGAAAGAAAGCGTCAATTCCATGCTTATTGAAATTCCAGTAATGTAGAGATGAAGGTGTTGCACAATTGGTGTTCAAATTCCAGTAATGTTGCACAATTGGTGTTCAAATTGAAACGGTCAATCAATAAATTTTGAAGGTGTTTGACTCTCCACCATTGACAGCCATTAAAAGCTTTGAAGCATTGAATTCAAATTTGGGTTTTCAAAAACCATCATTTGTTTGGATTGAGTGTTGTTGCAAACAATTGGGAATATTGTTTGGAGTTTATATCTCAATTTTGAGGGTGTTTTGGTGAAGATTAGACTTGATTTTGGCTGAATTTCAGATTGAAACTCGAAGAAGAAGAAGACATGACATACATTATACTTACGAAATTGTAGTAAAATTGTAGGTAAATTGTGTGTGTGTGTATATATATATATATATATATATACACACACACACACACACATTTATTTAAATATTTTATGAAAAGTTGAACAATATTGTATAAAATTTGTATAAAAGTTGTATTTAAGTTGCTTGATATTGTAATTGTATATAACTGGGTAGAAATAATGTATGAAAGTTGTAGATAATTTGTATAATATATAATTAGTTATATGAAATTTATTTTTACTATGTATAAATCAGATACAAAATATACAAAAGACATATTGTATAAAATTTGTATACAAATTGTATTTAAGTGGTATGATATTGTAGTTGTATATAACTGGGTAGAAATATTGTGTGAAAGTTGTAGATAAGTTGCAGACAAATTGTATAATATATTTAGTTGTATGAAATTTATTTTTACTATGTATAAATCAGATACAAAATATACAAAAGACATATTATATAAAATTTGTATACAAATCGTATTTAAGTGGTATGATATTATAATTGTATATAACTGGGTAAAAATAATGTATGAAAGTTGCAGATGAATTGTAAACACAACAGAAAAAACTTTATTTCGAGTGATTTGGAAATACAGAAAAGACATACTCCTTACACTAGAATTTAAAAGTGAGGAGAAATTGAGCGATGTGATCTGTTTATTTTTTCTTGGGATGATGTGGTCTGTTTATTCAAGGGATTGTTATAAAAATAGTCACTTAAATTCACACTTTGCTTTAGTTGATATGCGTAAATTATGTACTAATTATATATAATTGTATGTTATATGTCTATCAATTATTTTTAGTTTAAAACATATATATAATTCTTTAAATTTTTTTTCAAGTCATGTTGAAACAACGCGTCTCTGAAACAGTAGCGATGTGAACACATTTTTTTTTAACATAAAATTGAAAGAAAAGGAGAAAATATATTTACTATGATATGATTAGAGTCGCAGCCACATTTGATAGACTTAAAAAATGTTGGAAACTAAAATCAAGGGATACAGTAGTTGGCTTAAATTGCTGCAAGGGTGGAAGATCTATAGAGAAAAGGGGAAAGAGGAGGAAAAAAAGGAAAAGAGTGTAACTAAATCCCTTGATTGAAGGCACTAATAGTGGATTGGGAGTCTTTAAGGTGGAATGCATATATTTTGTAGATAAAACTTGTGTAGGTCGGATAAATAACAAAACATGACAATTTTGATAATAAAGTTTCAAATAGTATATAAGAATGTAAAAATCCCATGAATAAACTGGTCCGAACACCACTCTTACACACACACATAATAAATGATTGATTGGCATTAACCATATAACTTGTATTTTGCGTAATCATAAACCTTATTTGAGCCTCCTATGCCATCTAAAAATGGAAGAAGGTGACACCCACGAAAACATGTTGATCTGCTTAACTGCAACCATGAGTTAATCCCTTTTCCTTACTATGAGCAGATTGCGAGGCCATTTACACAGCCATTATTTATCTAAATCAGAAACCAGATTAAAAAAGGAAATGAGAGGAGAATAAAAACAAAAACTCCAAATATCATTTACTTGCTGAATGTACAACAAAGTGTTATTACATGGAGGCGACTCGAGGAAAAATTCTAAAACTGAGCCAGCCTTTTGTAAGTCACTCGAACATACACTGTTACATCTACTTCTTTCACAAACATGTTCGTTTCTGGACATACAACAAACATAAAAATAGAGGAGGACTATCTACATTCCATTGTACACCAATCGTGGATGGCCGAAAGGACTCTTTAAATATCATTTTCTAACTACATATCATTTGCATTCTGTCCTTTCCTCATCCTCAACCCAACAAAAAGTGACTTTACCAAGATAAGTAAAGAAACCTAATATAGGCCCCAGAATAGTGAGTTTTCAGATTGATATACTACAGCCTAATTCCCTAGCAGCAGTATCAAGAAATTGAGCAGACATCCCATTTTCAAGCCGGCTATTTGCTTCCCACATCAAACATTTCTCAATATCCGCTTTCCAATCAATGATGCTTATGCTTAGGTACTGATAAGCAGGACTGTGGATACCATTTACATCTGCTTGTTTAGCACTTGACGATTTTAATGAACCAGCATACATGATGGCACGAAGAACCGATGTGCTGAGAGCACGGACATGCGCACTTGGATGAGAAACACAGCGAACTGTGGCTGTTAAGCGACACTGCAATGTATTAAATCAAAGGAACCAGTCAGTGTTGTAACCCAAAATGTGTCTCATCATTCAAGTGCTAAAGTAAAATTCAAAGAAGACAAGATCATTTTTCACTTTTATTGTTCCCCAATTCGAGCAAAGAGTGTCACCTTCAGGAGGTTTGTGAGGCCATCAGCCACTGCCTGTCCAGATTCTCCCCAGTCAAGCACTGGTTGAATTGCTCTAGCTGTCACTTCCAGAAGCTGCTCAAATGTTTTTAAGAGCAAGGATGTAAATACATCAAAATATGCAAAAGATAAGGATTATGATGAATCAATTATCATCAGACATATTCAAGTAGTCACAAACATATAGGAAGTCTTAGCTTTCTGAATCATAGATTCATCACAGTGGGAAATGAGAACTACTATAAAAGATGTTACTCTAAACCAGAAGTTATAGATGTCATTACCTCCAGTTGCGGTAAGGTGCATGCTTCTCCATCGACAAGCATCCCATCTGTAGCCCGTAAAAGGAGGTCTGGGGCACTAGCCAGAATAACCAAAGATTCTGCTATATCATGATTCCTTATTAGTTCTGCGATCAATTTTACTATACGTTGGTTGATTCTCCACATCTGCTGACCAAGATCATCATCTTTAGCAATCCATGGTTGCAATTCCCTGTCAGCCTGACAAGTAAAGTTTGGCAAGAAAGTGACTAAACAAATATGGTGATGAAGACCTAAATACACCTACAAGCAAGTTATGATAACTATTAGCATGCAAGTTGAAGAAGCTTCGAACCCAGTTGCTGTACCCATTGTCATAAAAAGATGTATTTGTCATGTGTACGAGGCCGAAAATATGATAGAGAGAAGGGAAAAAGGTGCAAATTTGGCCCCGTACTATTCAAAATTGCTCAATTTTGCCCTCCATTACGCTTTTGGTCCATTTATTCCCTTACTGTTATCAAATCGTCTTGTCTTGTCTTTTCTCTTTCCATTAATGGAGCTCCAAAAGCAAAACGGTCGGATTCCACATGTCCAAATTCTGGAAAAAAAAGGTCTAAATTTACCCATCTTTTGACAATGGTTTAAAATTACTCTCAGGTTGGAGCTACATTAGGGGTCAACGGAAAAAATTGATACTTTTTCCTAACGGAACGGGCAAAGTTGTTAAACCAAATGTTTAACAGAGGGCAAAGTTGCTCAACTACGAATAGTGCAAGGACAATTTTGTCTCTTAACATAAATGTGAATATTTTAAAAAGCATGTGTATCTGTTAGCCCTTTGGATCCTAATAAATACAGTAGAAACTTTGCACAAAGCAGCAGCCTAACAAAAAAAGGTTCATGATCTATTTTGACCAAATACAGTTAAAGCGAAATCTGGACCTGAAGAACAATGGCTGTTGCAGCTTTTCCAGGTGACGCTGATACAACATTGCATAGTGCATCGACCACCTGTAGTTATGGAAGATTATCAGCACCATATAGAACAGTACTAAGTATCTTGTGTATTTGAATGTACATTGCAAAAAGCAGCATGTGCTCTAACTTGATTACAGGTATTCTTCATGCTATCACAAAACCACTGCACAATAATAGTAAAGCAACATTTTCTCATTTTTGACTCCCAAAACCTAACACGTTCACTTTCTGCTATCATAACATTTTCCACCTCTTGAAGACAGTTCAATGATTTTCTTGTTATGCTGCCTGTGCCATGCAGTTCTAATTAAAGTTGTTGGTAGTTACCACTACTTTGAATGTGCATGGAGTGCACGAAATAGCAAATTTATATTCATAGAGAAATGTAAATAGAAGAAGAGATTGGTGCTACCATGACCTAATAGGAAAAGCCCCTGTTATTCCCCAGTCTTCTTTGACATGAGCTTAACAATCTTTGAGGGAGGTAAGATTGTTATTTTTCCTTGGAAGAAAAAAGAAGTTGAGGGAGTAAAGTTGGGATTGTCAATCAAAAGATTCTAATTAGCAAACAGGACTTTTCCTAGCAAAAACCAATATCACGTACAGAGAGAAAGAGGGGAGGTGGGTGTTGCAGGAAAAGGAAGTAGGATTGGACTACACATGGAAAGAAAAGGAAAAACTGTGCACTTCTCGAATTTAAAGGCGAGCGAGCAAATAATGTTGTTTTAGGGGGGTGCTTTGTTCTTCAAGTAACATGGTTTCACATCTTTTGAAGCCAAAGCTAACAATAAAAACCACCAATTTGAAACTTCAAGAGAGAAGGATTATGTAAAAATCAACTTCAAAATATTAAACTGTGATATCAAGCTCGCATTGCACATAGATATGCTTATCAGGTACATTGTGTCTTACTTGAGGATGATATATTTTTCTTATTGCACAATTGCGACAGAAAATAGTCAATTCGTTAACAATGACTAACACGAAGAAGTAACAAAGTAGATACCTGTCTCCATCCTTGCTGGCCAGAAGTGCTTTCTGCACTGGGTTGGGTTTCAGGTGATGCAATCAACTTGTGCCAGAGCAATGAGACAACAGAAAAACATAATTCTTGTTTCTCCGCAAGCACTGATTTTAAAAGATCCTGTGCATTGCAATTAAATCCTATATGCCTGTCCTTTGTCAGAAAATTGGCCAAATCTGAAGCATCTAAAGAGAAATTTGCAAACACTTTGCTGATGGTGCACCCAGCAACCTCACTTGAGTGTGAACCTTCTCCGCACACAATTGAAGCTTTACAATCAGAGTCTTTGCACTGAGGCACTGATGGCTGTTCTGCTGTACGACTTGTGTATTTATAATGTTTTTTCCCATTTAAGCATCTGGGCCGCTCCTTTAGTACTGGTGCATGTATTAAAAAAGCTTCCAATGGTTCAGCCTTGTTGAGAATTGATGCGACAGTTTTGCTATGAATATCAATTAGGTTATATAGTGAAGATGCCCTGGAATGAATTCCATTATCCCACTTACACCGTATCAAGCTAGAAAGAGCACGCATGCAAGCCTTGGAGCGTCTAAACAGATCAGAAATATGAGCAGCTACCATAGCTGCAGCAACTATCTCATTTGAGCTGTAACTCCATGAAGTTCCAACAGAAGATGGCTTCAAAGAAAACAGTGCCTCTAAAATTGCCAATATCCTCCGAGTATGACAGACGGCAGAATGAATGCCATTTTGTAACTCAATAGATGAATCATTTGCAGGTTTTGCTTCATTGATGATGATTTTCGGATCTGGCTGATTTGTCCCTCTTGAAATCAAAGTGAAGAGCTGAAGTTCACAAGAAAGAGCACAGACAGCTGCAAGAACATAAGAATCAAATGCTGCGACAGGTCCTTGTCTTTTCACTTTCTTACTTCCTATCTTTTTTTGTTCTCCAATGGTTGTGAGTGTGTCTACCCCTATTTCACTAGGTGGGTGAGAATCTTCACCTTTAGGCCTTTTATTCCCATTTGGTTTTGCTTCGTGGCTGACACATACAGTTAAGACAACGAAAAGAAGACGAGACGCAAGCTCTATAGAGGCACATGACTCCAAGAACAACGAATGAACCATGGTTCGCAATTCTGCCACAGCAAGGTTCTTGAAGGCAGAGCCAAAAACGTATCTGGTTTTTCTGTTTTCCTCTCTAGAGGAATCAGGTGGGAACGTTCTCTGGAGAATTGCTTCCACAGTAGCAACAAATATTTTCATGAGACAAGTTTCCGATGGACTCCCACGAGGAAGATACTCTAGAACCTTAAGGAGGGGTATATACAGGTTCCATGAAAGAATGGGTGGTTGTAGAGGGGTAGCAACTACAATTTCGGGGAGATCAACCGCAGATGAACTTAAAGGAATCAAGCCATAGGCAGCTTCCCAGATGGTACATATTCTCCATTCAACCTCTGGACCATGTGCGCAAAGCATTGATGCAATCCCTTGGGCAGTGGCATCAACTGTGGCTTCAATGGTGGCTTCTGCACCCACATGTTCATTTTGAACTTCAACTCCTTCAACTTGCCGTAAGGGGGGAAAAAGCAAAGCAGGTTGAGAAAGTATTCGGAAAAGTAAAGCCGCTGCAGAATCTGCAGCAATTCCTGCTCTCATGGACATGGCAATTCCAATGGCACGCAAGAAATGCAAATGCATCCAATTCCTAGGAAGCTTTGGAAATACATAAAATGTTAGGAATTCTATAGGAGATTCCAAGAAAAGATGCATAAAAAGATAAACCTCCATTAATTGAGGACAGGAGGTGTACTCAAGCAACAGAATCAATAAGTTCACTCAGTAGAAATATGTTTTAGTGGAGAACATTCCAGAGGGCATAGCTTATGCAAAGGATTTCAAGGATAGCTGAAAGCAACGAGACAGAAATTTAAACTACAAATCTACAACAACAGTTATGCTTCGGTTCCAAACTAGTTCAGGTTGGCTATATGGATCCTCAATATCCATTTTGATATATCTGGAGCCCTTTCATTCTAATAATAAGTTGTCTTATAAAATGAAGTTGGTTAAAGGTGTGCTAACTTGGACTGTTGTCTTGTACATATCTATATAAGCCCTAGTAGTAAGACACTTGTCTTACACAATCTGTCAAACTCTTCTCTCATATCTCACATATATCACGTGTTACGAACCAAACATAGTATAACTGAATTATCTTCTCTCTAGCAGTTTAAAAACTTATAGATAAGACGGTTAACATATTTCAACATGGTACTAGAGTAATTCAACTATTAACGGTACCACCACCAGCACCACCAACAATAACAGCAACTATATAACCCGACCTAGTTGGGATCTGCTATATAATTTCTTACTATTCAAGCCGCTCCATATAGACCCCTGTCTACTATCACCATAACCCACCAATAAAAATATTTTCATTAATTTGGTTTATAAAAAGTATCAGACCCGCAAATGAAGGAGCATGTTGCAGAATTGAGTGATGAAACAAAAGTGCTCCTTCTTAACAACTTAAGCTCTTTGAGAAGAGCAACTAAGACAATTCAACATATTGAAATTGGTTATATATTGAGACTACAACCAATGAATTCTTTCTGTGTACAGATATGCTCATTTAGAACGAGAGTAGTAGTTTGGGACAAGTTTATATACAATTCATACTGAACAATTCAATCGTGTGTTCCGGCATAGCATAGATGGTTAAAAAATAGAACCTTACAGTTGTACAAAGAACCACGAAGAAAGCACAGAAATGAACAAAAGTGGCTAAGGTGTTCGGACAAATATCAGATTGATGCTCACATAATCTTGTTCATGATAATTTGAAGGAAAATTTTGTAACTTACACGCAATCCAGATGCATAATCTTCAGCTGCTCTTAGAAGTTCCACTAGTTGTACCGCAGCATCAAGTGCATCCGGAGCCCAAGATGGTGGAGCTTCTAAAAGTCCAACAAGAAGCCTCTGGGTGGCACTTGGACTAGCAATTGCATAATATCTAATCCAGAAAATAGAAGTTAAAACGAGTTCCTACTTCCCAGTTTCAAAGCCTATAAAATAAGTTAAATCATGCTTTTAGTCTTACCGATGAAATAAACGTGCATATGGCTCAAGTGCTGGCAGTCCTGCAACGAGATGCTCATCCATAGGTGTCGTTGGAGGTGGAAGCAGAAGTGCAGGAACAGCGGCTGCAGTCAGGGTAGCAGTCTCGTAGCGAGCAACCTCCTCATCACAAACACTTAAAATGACACCGGCGCCATTAGCGACAGCCCATCTTGGAGTTGAAGGCAGTAGTTGCGGATGCTTCCCAGACCCACGAGAAGCAGCTAAAATAAAATGTCAAGTCAATAACAGTTTGCCGCAATTCTAACATATGAAAACTCTTTAAAATTAATATCTCAGCCTTCTTGAAGAAAGTTAGGAAACTCAACGTCTGATAGGAGGACAAGTGGAAGAAAATGAAGAGAAACAAAACAAATTTACGTTCTACGTTGAGCTATATTTGAGTTATATTAGTTGTCCCACATAGATAGCAAGAGCTTCCAAATAAATTTATAAAGGTTTTTAGCTACTCTACCCATAACCTTTAAGGTTTTGAGTTGGATAGAGTTTCACATAGTATCCAACACAACGTTGGTAATCCCATTCTCTCACTAGTAAGTCCGCACCAGAGTTTGTGTGAATCTTACATGTGTGAAAAAGTATTGAATATTGAGCTATATAGTGTTCCCAAATAGGTAGTATGAGGGCTTCCAAAGTGGTTCATAAAGATCGTGGATCTCCACCCATTGCCTTAAGATTTTTGGGTGGACGCATAGATTCTTTCACATATCAGAATTCATCTCACAATTAGTGCAAAACTGCAGTGGCGGTCAGGAAAAACAGGTCCTGTTTCTTTTTCTTTTTAAGAAATATAATCTAGAAAAGGGAAAAGAACTAATGTTAATGCGAGGAAGATAACATTTCTTTGCAAGACTTGGTTGCTATGGTTTCTAAGGTGCTGTGAATTCACGTCTGGTAAGAACGGCAGGAGAAAAGGTGCTGTGAATGTAAATAGGCAATCCTACCCACTACCCCCCCCCCCCAAACACACACACACAGAGGCAGATAGTAAGATACTACTGCAAGAATAATACACAGGAAATATTACAGTGAATTGAAATGCCATCTCTCTAAACATGAGCTCAGAGCATTATTTTCACTAGCTCAGTGATGACTATACATAGGGTAAGTAAAAAAGATGTCAATAATCATTTCCCATATTTTACTTAGCATGGTAAGAAAATACTTCTTGCATAGATTTTCAAGCACATTATCAGCATCCATAGGAATTGTACTGGGTGTTAAAAACAAAATATTGAAAGTGCAGGTCTAGAACCACAAACAGGCACAAACATTTCACGAATAGAAAGTCCACATACCACTTGATGGGGGCTTGAGTTCTCCAGCAGCATACTTTCCCATTACACCACCACACCTACAGAAGGATGAAAGATTTCACAATATTTAGAGGGGGAAGGTGTAGTTTCCACTTGTCCAGATTCATCAGTCTCAAACTCCACAACTCAGCAATGTAGATCAATGAAAAAAATTCAGGTCTACAAAATGATAGTGTTCCAAAGGTTCATTAATTTGAAAAGCAACAAAAAGAAAATAATACAGACTAGCATTGGGACAAGTTCTGAAGGATACAAATGTAGTTAAAGGAGTGTTATCAGAGGCAAAAAGTGCAAATGAGCTTTCTGAAGACTATTGGGCCTGTAAGCACAAAGCAATGATAAAGTGCGGGTTTTAACTTTAATATTCCTAAAGTTCATTAATTTGAAAAGCACCAAGGAGAAGATAAACACCGACTAGCATTGGGAGTTCTGAAGGACAGATGGACTCAAAAGCAGAGTCATACTGTGAAAAGTGAATCTTAAATCTGTTGGGACTTTAAACAAATAGCTAATAAAGCACGGGCTTTAATGAAGAAAGGCACACTCTCCAAGAATAATCATTATAAATCCAAACCACAATTTTTTAGACAAAAGAATTGAAAAAGATACAATTAGGTGAAGTATTTATAATATAGTATTGCTCTCTACACGACAGAACCCGTGGACGATGAGGCATGCCTTAGCGCTTAAATGCTTGCACCAAAGTGCTGATTTAGATTTAACGAGGCGAAGCGCACAACCATGCCCTTAAAAATTAAGCATTGTTCCATGGGCTTTACCAGCATCAACCAGCGTAACATGTCTCTTGCGAAGAACTATACAAGATGAAACAGGAGGAAACAAATGTGTAGGAGGTAAAGAATCCTATCATGTTAAGACAGTGAGCATGGAGAAACATAAGGAGTATCCTAGGACATCCATAACTTCTTAAATGGCTGAGAAAAAATTGTCAGAGATACAAAATACTTCTCCATTTGTTTCGACATGTTTGAGCATCCAGCATAGATCTCTTCTCTTCACATTCCATTGAGCAATGTTATTATAAAGGTACATTACTTCTTACTATTTTTTTTTTTTTTTGGGGGTGGGGGGGGGGGGGTCAATGTAGGTCGACAGTACATGAACTGGGCAAAAAGTACAATTTTTCTAAATGGTAATAGCAGAAAAACTGAAAGAGCCTGATTGACATCGCATACCAGCCAGGGAATATGGCCTAAACATATGCAAGACAAAAAAACAGCAGACGACAATGACCCGAAGAGAGTAAAAAGACAGTTAAATGAGCAGCCAGTGGACTCATGCTAAACCAGACAAGCAAGGCAGGAATAAACTTTGTCAGTAACCATCAATGAAAGTGCTCTCCCTCACAATCATAAAAGACCTTGAGTCAATGTCCCAGTTTTAGGAATCATTTGAACCTATGCCTTTTCCCTAAACAATTCCAAAGAACAAATCCATCCAATCTGTTCACAAGTATTACATGTGCTTTCAAGATTAATGAACGCAGAACACTTTACATGATAAATCTCTTAATTGGTAGGTGTTTGAACTTAATGGGCAAGCCATATCTAAGGAGAAACAGTCTTAAGTTGCAGAGAGTAGAGCCAGAATGAGTTAGTACACTGTTTAGGTGAACATCAAGTCCTGTTACGTTAAAACACAAGTGAAACAACTTTTTTTCTCAGAGGGAATGTAAAGTAATTTTCCATTTAAATTTAGAAGAATTTTTCACAGCAAGTGCCGGAAAGCATGTAGTACAAGAAACAATATGGATAAAAAAAGAATTCCTTTTCAAATAGCTAATGAATTTCTCCTGCATCTTGAAAATGTAAAATGTAATGGAACATCTGACCAGTAAGCAACAATGAGAGACATGCTTACCAACGGAAGTAATCACTTCTAATCCCTAGTGGTGCAGCAAGCAATATATCAGTGATCCATGGAGACAATGGTCTCAGGGGTTTTCTCTCATGTTGTATAGAAGGCACACCAGGTTCACTGTCGGTAGATTTACTTGTTGAAGCATGGCTTCCGCTGGTGTTTCTATCTGCTCGATTCTCCTGACGATCAGCTTTGAAAATCGGGCGGTTGTAGTGTGTTAGGATTCGTAAAATCTCTCCACAGGCAAGAGCCCATTGTTCAGAATATTCATTCTACATTAAGGGTTAACAATTAGTAGGCAGACCCAGATTACGATATTCAAGACAGGCTTTAAGCAAATCATAGAGTAAAAAAGCATGATGATATTTAATCAAATTAATTGTTAAAGAATCTGAATACCTCACTGCTTGGGCAAACCAACGATATAAAAGAAGCAAAAGGTGGACTACTTTTATCATACTCCAGTGTACCATCAATGATGCATGAAATAATTGGATGAATTACAGCATGCCCATGCTCTGGGTGATGAAGAACAAAAGTCGCTGACAATTGAAACAAACAACAAAAACAGAAGTCAATCAAGCATCACAAATAGGTGCAAGTGCCATCGTAAATGTTAAATAATAAGTAAGAATTAATCATACCTAAAACATCATCAAACAGTCGGTTTTCCTTTGATGGATACCGGTTCCGTATGAGCTTCCAAATTAAACACATGCAGTTAGTTTACAGGGAAGAATGAATAAAACTTAGTCTAGATATTGAAAATTATAAGAAAAGAGTTAACACTTCAGAATTCACTGAATACCTCAGCTATATCTTCAGGAAATTGTTCTGATGTAGACTGACCAAAGTACTTAACATACGCAGTAGTTTGAGCCTGTGAAGAGAATATAAAAAGAGGTTTTCCATGAGCGAACATACAAAATGCAGACCATAGAGAACAAAGAAAAACAGAAGTCTTTCAGGCATTAAAAAGTTTAAGATGATAATCGGGTGATGATGGAGGAGATGAGTGCACTTGAGAAGAATGTGACATGGGAGTTTGTTGATTTGCAATGAGACTAACTCAACTCATTCCAAGTCCAACAAATAGCATAGGAAGGACAGAATCCTGCGTCAGAGATCTTTAAGTAGTACACAATTCACGGAGATTTTTCTCGAAATTTAATAAGCGGCCTAATCCTCAAGAAGTTGCTACGTACCTGCTGGCCTTTCAGGTTATGTCCCTTTTACTACTCACCATTTGCTCCCTCCGTAAGGAGCACATTTTTTTGTCTAACATCTCAACTTTATTAGAGAGGTATTATACAATATGTAGAATTGTTATCTTTCTTGGTTAACATTTTCCTTGTTGAACATTCTTTTTGATAAAGGTGGGGTTCGGGCCAACTTGCATGAACTTCAACTAATCCACTGGGTTCCTACTACCTCCCACCAGCAGGTAGTGTCTACCAACCAAGGCTTAAGACAAAATGGAAGAATCCTAGTGCTTTTTGTCTCTGTTGTGACTTAAACCCTGATCTCTAAGGTTTGCACCCACTTAATTGAGCATTATGCCACACAATTGGGTGCTTTCCTTGTTGAAAGCTATACAACACAGACACCCCCGAAAGAAACTTCTTGTTATCACTTATCCATTTGAAGTATGTGTCAATCGATCCTCATTGTAATATCCTGCACGTTGTACACACTTCGGCGTGCTAATTAGTCATGCTATCCACTTGTCAGACAATCAACTGATAAACAAGTTGTCACAATGGAACATGCGCGACATAGAAATCATTTAATTTAAGTAAGAAGAAAGTTGGGGTGACCAATTGAAGAACCTAATTCTCTCTACAAGGCGATTAGCAGCAAGTATGGTCTCTATAAGTACAAATATCACACATGAAAGTCCATGAATTAATTTTTTTAATATCAACAGTGTTCAGGTTAATTTGGCTCACCTCGACTAATTCACTGGAAACTTGTTTGGCTCACAAGGTGGCTGCGAATATAATCATATCCACCAAGGTTGGACATAAGAACTCACACCAAGTATTTTAAATGGGACTCAAACCTAGGATCTCCAAATTGTTACTCTCATGAGTCAGCCACAAGGACATCCTCTGGGGGACTTGAAAGTCTAAAGTGTATCTCACATCTATTTCCTTCATTCGTCCTCTTGCTTGAGAAAGAGTAAACCAGGGTGCAATAACTTGCTTTTTATAGGACAATTGGGTTAGAGATGCTCCTTACTATCTCATAAAATCAACACTGGCTTTCAAACGTTTATTATATACCCACTTTATCATTATCATCTTTTTGCCACCAAAATAGTAACTCTTTCTGTTGGATTCCATTTCTATATGGGCTTAAACTATGAAGAAGTAAATGTTACCACAAGATCTTCGATTCTATCACTAACGTCATTCTTTCCAACCCTTGAACAAAAACTCACATGCAAATCCTTCTCATTGTCATTGTCATTGACATCTGACGTTCTTAATGGTTGGAATCTTATTACAAAATTTTATCACCACCTTTGAGGAGAATACTTTCAGCTTAAGCTTCACCAAATATCAAGGCATTTACTTAATGTTGGAACATGAAAGGTTTAACACTTATTACAAGGTACAATATAAGAAGGCTTTTCAAATGACAAACCAAAGTAGCTGAACTATTTTGCAAGTTGTTCTTTTGCAATAGATCGCAGCAAAGACTATTTGTATCTACCTCATTAATTTGCGGTGTTAAACACTGAGCTGCATACTTCATTAGTTATGGTGTGTTCTGTGGATAATGCTTAAGCCTGCTTATGTCAAACTATCCTCGATCTCTTTTTTTTCGACATTCCAAAACCCATTTCTTTCAATAGAGCATGTTTGGGGAAAATAATCATTCTATCTTCTTTTTTTCCCTCTTTTTGATAAGGTAGTCATTCTATTTTAATAAGCGTGTTACATGATTCCCTCAACCTATCTTTAATTAGATTGGAGCGCCTCTTTTGGCACATGGAACACTACATTAAATTCGGCGACACTGTATTCCTCCTATTTGTATACCTTTCTACCTAACCATAAACATTCTCCTCTTATCACAATATACAAAAAAAACTAGAACACTTGAGCAACTTAAACTTAGCCGATATGATAAGTTTTTCAATTTTTCCTTGAAAGAAGCAATTTTTTCTTCAACTTTTTGTTCCTTATTATATCCAAGTCTCCAAGAATGTGCTTATCCCCACGTAATACTGACGATAGCCACACTAAGATATTGTAGCAAAGCAAAAAATTGCACCTTCCGCTGTTGTACATCTTGAGGAGGAGGCCAAAACAATGAGGAGAAATGAAGTCCATCAATCCACCTTTCGCTTGCAGCGGCAGCAGCAGCCATATATAACTGTTTGACAATCCAAGAATTTTAGTGATATGATAAAAATGCTGTTGACTGGTAAAGCCATCAACTGCCCGCTACTATAGCCTCTACCAATCAAGGATCAAAATACTGTAATTCAACATATTTGGATCCCAATCCAAGGACGGTCCATCCACGTCTCTTATCAAGAAAAATTCACCTTAGAGCTTCAAGCTTGTCCCTTTAAAATTTATGGCAGCTGTAAATTTCACTATTTTAACAGTAGGAAGATAAATAATATATCCCTTGGTCCTGCAAAACCAAAAAACAAATCCTCAAACAGTTACAAAAATGCACAACAAAACTAACACCTTTTGAAAAATCAATCAATTCTCCAATTATATGGAGTACTATTTCTTATTCCAATAAAAACTTTGAAAATAATTAAATAAAGCTGATTAGCAAAAAAAAAATTATTATAAAATTAGAATTAAAAACAAATACAGCTCAACATATATAAGCCCGTCAACAAGATCACTACTTTAAACATGACATATTACGCACGAAGAAACCCAGAAAAAATGAACGTAAAGGAATTTTTACCAGAAATTGGAACCCTGAAAGTTGGTCGTAGTAGATTTTGGGTAAACTGAAGGTTTATTTTAGATTTGTGTGGAGAGAAGTTAGATTTAGAGAGAGAAAAATAAAAGGGGAAGAGAGGAGAGAGTTTATAAGAAGAGAAAAAGATATGGAGCAGAGAGGAGGAGATCTTTAACTATGTTTTCTCTCTTCCTTGGGATTGCATACGTGGCAATGATATTTTCCTCAGATTTTAAGAGGCCACGTGGCAGGCAATCAAGTGGATGGATTCTAAACCATCGCTACTATGCTTCATCATCACATGCATACTATTCCTCTACATACATACATCTCACTTTTCTTTTTTTTCTTTTTTTTATGTCTAACTTGCTCCCTTGATACTATTTTAATCCAATTATTAATTAGTATTTCTTCATAAAAATCTTGGGAGAGAGATTTCGATCCATATGAACTTGAGAAGAAATCATAATGGATGGAGAATTTGAACATCTTGGATTCACTAAGAGCAGCAAGTAAATATTGATCTGAAAAAAAAAGTAATTTGGTTGATAGAAAACGTTATAAAAAATAATAATAATTGCATTTCTCACTTTCTTCACACAAAAAAGGAACAAATAAATTTTCTCTCTCTATAATTATATAAAAACCTTGATTTATGAACTTACTTAAGAAATTATAAATTTTTATTCAAGAATGAATCAGTAAATATATAATAAAATCAAAATGTTGGAATCTTGCGCTCAAGTTGAGAAAAGTCATCTACTTTTGTAAGTTGTAAGTAAAATAATAGAGAAAAGAGAGGTATGAATGGAAAGACGATTCTATTTTCTTTATTTAATTTAGTCTTAATATATATTTTTCCATCAATTACAAATTTTAATTTTCCTTACACACCTTAATTTGAGTTACCTTTGACACTCACCATTACATACATAAAAAATGGATCTAAGACTCCCACAAATTTCCACGTGGCATGCGCTTACTAAGCCAAGAATCAAAGCATGCGGGATGTTAAAATTGGCCAAAGATCATGTATAGGGTCAAATTTGACCCTAAGCATCTCTACGCCAGTGGGTACGCCCAGTGAGTGTACGCCGACTAACGTAGCGGGTACGACTCGGACGTGGGGACAAAAGCGACATCGTTTAGGACTCAGTGTCTTCACTAGGGAGACGTTACCTGTCTTTGTAACTTTTTGATTCTTTCGAGGAAGGTCTCTTATTATATAAAGGAGACCTTCACATTGTAAAGGGGGGATTCTGATCTAATACAACTCTCTCATTTTTCTGGCTTTCTCTCTTTATCTCTACCTCAAACGAACGTATCTTACTGAGCTCATATTAGCACTTTGCAATACTAGATCTACAACGATAATATCATCTTTGCATCTCTAGGTTTATTATATTTGATTACGATTTACCCTTTTCTTACTTTTAATTATTTTCTAGCTTACAAAGTATATTGTTAACTTTTGAGCCAAACAATTTGGCGCCGTCTGTGGGGATTTCGAGAATCAAAACCATAGTATCCACCTAGAGATCAACCAACTACCACTCTCTACACCACACAAAAACAGAAAATGGCCGAAAATAACACAAGATCGAAAGCTATATTGGGTGTCACTACCAATCTCCTTGGCCCTCTCAACGAGGCCAGTGACGATGGCATCCTGAATGCAACCCCTAGCATCACACCGGGTGCAGAGATCTCACCTTCCCCATCCGAAGGTCTGACGATCTTGCACGAAAAGGGAGCTTCCACATCTGCGGCTACGGAAGCACCCTCAGCGGTCAAGGAGCTACTGGAAAGATGGCTAACAAGCACTCTAAGTGGCTTGGTTGAGAGGTCACCACAAAGTAACATCGGGTGTACACCAACGGTAGGTACCACTGCTGCCGTGGGTGAATCGGAAGTTGCACTAGCGAATAACAAACCCATCGAGACACAGACCAACGATAGCACGCTAACAGCCATCCTAAAGAAGATGGAAGAAATGGAAAATGAAAACAAGGCGCTCCGCGATCAGATGAAGGAACATCAGGAGAGGGTCGACAAGATCCCCGGTGCTCCCAAGTTGCTACCAAAACGCGACGTGGGAAGGTTCGTTGAACAACCATACACTGAAGAAGCTGCCCCTCACTCCACCCCAAAAACCTTCAAGATGCCACCCTACTTGAGGGTATATGACGGAACCACAGATCCCGAGGATCATCTGATCCACTACGTCACCGCTGTGAAGGGCAACGACCTATCAAAAGACCAGGTACCGTCGGTACTGCTGAAGAAGTTTGGCGAGACGTTGACAGGAGGGGCTTTAACATGGTACTCTCTGCTACCGGCTAAGGCAATATCAACGTTCGAGGAAATGGCGGATAAGTTCGTCACAACCCATGCAGGCGCGAAGAAAGCGGAGGCCAGGGTCAACGACATCTTCACCGTCAGGCAAACCACAGGAGAGGGACTCAGGGACTTCCTAGCAAGGTTTAACAAGGTAAGGATGAGTCTACCAAACGTATCGGAAGGTATGGCAGTCGCCGCTTTCCAGAACGGGCTAAGCAGGGATGGTTCGAGGGCAACCAAGAAGTTGTTGAGCCGCCTCATGAAATATCCCCCTACCACATGGGAGGAAATCCACAACGCCTATCGCGCCGAGGTAGGAGCGAACGAGGATGATCTTAATGGGCCGACCCAACGGCTAACAGCGATACACTCAGAAACGAGGAGAGATCGACGGAACGAAGGACGACGAGAACAACTCCCCCGCTCCAACAGAGATCGACATCAGCCGTACACCAAATCCTCCCATCCGCCACCAAGGCATACAGACGCGCTACAGCGACACGTCGCCCCACTCCGAAACGAAAGAGGTACGCCCCCTTTATTATCCGCCCATAACTTTTGTGTATCTCCTTCAGAAATAGTGTACGCACTAGAGAAGCTGGGCACCAAGGTGCAGTGGCCGCAGAAGATGAAATCAGACCCTGCCACAAGGAAATCAAACGCCCTATGTGAGTTCCATCAGGAACGGGGACACAAAACCGAAGACTGCATAGGCCTACGGCAAGAGGTGGTCAGGATGCTGAACCAGGGATACCTGAGGGAATTACTCAGTGACAAAGGGAAAATCAACTTTGCACGCGGACGAGAACAACCCCACGGGCCGCCGAAGCCACCTTCCCCAGCGCGCACGATAAACATGATCGTCGGAGGCGGCGACGAGTCAGTGATCAATCACGTCAAGTTCGCCACCACACACAGACTAAAGCGGACCATCGCCCATGAACGGTATGACGACTTCGAAGATAGTATCACCTTCGATAAGTCTGATGCCGACGGTTTGTCTTTCCCTCATTATGATGCTTTAGTTATCACTTTACGTATCGCTGATATGGATGTTAAAAGAGTCATGATCGATGACGGAAGTGGCGCCTGTATTATCCACCCAAGGGTCCTCGTACAAATGGGACTCGAGGATAGGGTAATACCGCGCTGCATAACACTAACCGGTTTTAACAATGCAGTGGAACGGACGTCCGGAGAAATAGCACTACCCGTCTTAGCGGGAGGAGTCACGCTGGAAATAACTTTCCACGTGATGAACCAAGAAACGGCGTACAACGTCATCATAGGACGCCCGTGGATACACGCCATGCGAGCGGTCCCTTCAAGCCTCTACCAAGTGATCAAATTCCCTACCCCATGGGGAGTATTCAGTATTCGAGGCGAGCCACGCACCGCACAAGAATGCTACAAAATAGCCCAAGACTGCGGCCACACCCAACAGCTAAAGGGGGCGAGCGCGGAAGCATAGCAATTAGCCGTGTCGGGGACTAAGGTCAACCCAACAACGGACGCCATCAAAGACCCCGACGTCGTGGAAGCCTGTAAAGCAACGGTCGAAGATATCGACCCAGTCCAATTGGACGAAACCGATCTTACGAAGAAAGCCTATATCGGGCAAGGTCTCGCCAACCCAAGTAAGTATTGTGAACTAACCATGCAGATTTGTTCGCCTTTTCCCATTCAGATATGCCGAGAATCCCGCGAGACATCGCCACCCACAAGCTGAATGTCGATCCACTACATCCGCCCGTGCGACAGATGAGGAGAAAATTCAACGCCGCTATCAATGAAGCGGTCAGTAAGGAATTAGACGAGCTACTGGCCATCGGCTCCATCAGAGAATCAAAGTACCCCGAGTGGGTCGCCAATGTTTTCATGGTCAAAAAGAAAAACGGGAGGTGGAGAATGTGTATGGATTTCACTGATCTGAACAAGGCTTGCCCAAAGGATTCATTCCCACTACCCCACATCGACCAATGATCGACGCCACTGCAGGACATGAACTACTGAGCTTCCTAGACGCCTACTCCGGCTACAATCAAATCATGATGGCCGAGGAGGACCAAGAGAAGACAACTTTCATCACCCACCAAGGGACTTACTGCTACAAGGTAATGCCCTTCGGGCTCAAAAATGCAGGGGCTACGTACCAGAGACTGGTCACGAAAATGTTTAAAGACCAGCTCGGTAAGACTATGAAAGTCTATATCGACGAAATGCTGGTAAAGTCGGCAAGAAAAGAGGACCACATCGACCATCTGAAAGAAACCTTCGAGATATTGAGAAGATACGGGATGAAACTGAACCCCGAGAAATGCGCCTTCGGCGTGGCATCAGGAAAATTCTTAGGGTTTCTCGTATCACAACGAGGTATCGAAGTCAATCCAGATCAGATCAAGGCGATAGACGCGATACCCGAGATACTGAACAGCAAAAAGCAGGTGCAAAAGTTGACGGGGCGAATAGCCGCCTTGTCTAGGTTCATCTCACGGTCCTCCGACAGATGCCATAAGTTTTTTAATGTGCTGAGAAAGGACAAAGGGTTACAGTGGAATGAGGAATGCGTCGAGGCCCTAAGGAAATTGAAAGCGTACCTATCTTCACCGCCACTGCTAGCCAAAGCAAATCCAGGCGAGCCACTGCTGGTATATTTGGCCGTATCCGAGGTCGCCGTCAGCGCAGTCCTAGTTCGTGAAAATGAAGGTACACAATCTCCTATTTACTATATTAGCAAAACCTTAGTGGACGCCGAAACACGGTATCCACACCTTGAAAAATTAGCTTTGGCATTGGTCGTAG